GACAGCTCTGGGAGAGAGCCCTTTCTTGCCTCTTGTAGCTTCCAGCATGGAAGGCGGTGCTTGTAGTTGCATAACACCAATCCTCTGTTGTCTTATGGCCATCTTCTCCCTGTGTGTCTTCACCATGTCTTCTCTCTGTGCATGTCAACCTCTGTCCAGATTTCCATATTTATTTTTTTTATAAGGGCACCAGTCATACTGGATTAGGGCCTACCCTAATAACCTCACTTTAACTTGATTACACCTATAAAGTCCCTATTTCCAAATAGCATCACATTCTGACATACTCGGGCTAGGATTTCAACACATCTTTTTTTGTGCGGGACACAATTTAACCCATAGCAAACAATAGCACCTAGTGAGTGCAGAATTGGAGTGCACAGACATTACCTTTCCATGCTGGCCACTCTCTGCAAAGCCTAGCTGGAAATCAAATTTTGTCACAAGTGTGGTGAGTATTTAGAAACCTCTGGCAGCACACGTAAGTCCTGATCTTTTGAAGAAAAGTGTTCTGTAGGCACTGCACTAAGTACCCACATTCTTCCTGAGTAGCGGAACAAGGGAAAGATGTTTCTAGCAAAAGCAATGGCGTGAACCTGGCACAGGGTTTCACAGGGATGGGGCAGGGTGCGAGGGAGGCAGAACTAAGTTTGAGGAGGTAGGTCGGGGCTGGCTTCCTAGGGGCTTTGGGTGCAGGATAAAGTGTGTGAATATTAGCCCTAGGGAGCCAAGGGAAGTTTCTAGTCAGGAGAAAAAGCAGTTCCGAGAAGGTGGCCCCTAACTGCTGCGTCTGACTGGAAGGCTTCGGCAGGGACACGGCAGGGCTTGATCTTTCTCAGATGTATCCTGCAGCTCCAGAAGGCATTCATGGCCCCTTTCAGCAGCTGGGACCACTCCAGAATTCTAGCATTTCCGGGACATCCTCTAGGGCCTTGGACTACACCCACCACACCACCCCTGCACTCTACCCAAGGTCCTGGATCTCTGAACCCCAGGAGTGAAGGGGCTGCAGATGGACAGATGGCCCCTTCCAGGGTCATGTCCCAGCTCAGGAATCTTAGACAACGGTGGTCAAGGAGCACACCTGAAGCATGACCTCCAGGGGAATCCCGCAGCATCACTCTTGCTGTGAGCCAGGTTGCTAGGAAACACTCGAAAGATTCTACAGACCCTCCCTACTTGCCCTCTCCCATTGCCCTTTGCTCGAAGCCCTCTCTACCCACACACTGCACCATGCCATTAAGATGACGCCCTCGTGTCTACCCAGAGCTACAGGGTGGCTGCCAAGCTGCCTTCTCCCCACCTGTTGGAGGCATGTGGTCCTAAGGAAAATGCTGCAGGCATATTGGGGGCCTTCTCTTCTGTTCTCCTCTGTTGGGGGCAGACGTTCCCGAAGCCATCTTGTCATAGTGCCTAGATAATGTGTGTGTTGACCACAAAGAGATGTTGGCTGGCACATAACATTCTCTTTATAGCCGTGCTGGAGCTCTTGTAGCTACCTGATGGAAGCATCCAGAGATTCCAACAAGGAGGGAGATCACAGATGCAACCACAGGCTTTAGGAGTCAGGAAGTTCTAACCAGAAAGTAGAAATATGTGAGGAATCAGTAGGGAGGGGGGTGACATGGTGCAGCCTAAACACCCCAACCCAACTGTGTGGGTGAATCCCATACCCTCCAGTTCGCCTGCGGTATCTTGCACAAATGACTGCGCTTCTGTGGGCCTTCGCTTCCTTATCAGCCAAATGGGGACCATAATAGTGCCTACCGCATGGGGGCGCTGTGAAAAGTAAAGCGAGTCAATGATTGTTAAGCACATAGAGCAGTGCCTGGCACCAGGCAAGCTCTAGAAAAGGGTTGGTTACCTACAAAAGCATACAAAATGCAGGAATGGAATGTGAGTGACAGGGACAGTCTGTAAATTGAACTTGAAAGGACATCAGTCTCCAGGGTGGTGGGAGGAGGCACCTCCATGGATATACCCAACATTGCCACAGATCTTTAATTCTTTATTCCTTTAATGAAAATTTACATTTCCTTCTTAGCTTTGAAAAAAAAAAAAAAAATCCAGAACCCTTGAACAAACCACTGTAATAATACCCAGGCGCTGCCTCCAGCGCGATCTAAAGATGCTGGTGATTCCACTTTCCTTTAGGAGTCTTGTTCTGAAAGTCCTGCCAGTCCAGGAAGGCTGCCTGTTGCAGCAGAGAACCAAACCAGCAGAAGAAAGGGATCCATCTGCGTGGCAAAACTTGCCATTTAATTGGATTTCATAGTAGGATTGGGCTTTTCTGCTTCTTAAGATGGCCCTGGGAGGCCATGGCGCGATCCTCCATATGGACCACCGCGCAGCATCCCGGGGAGGCGCTGCAGCTCCTGTATCTCCTGCCGAAGAGGGGACCTCTCTGGAAGCCCTGAGCAGACTCACAGCTGGCAGCGGATGGAGGAGAGCCCCTTGCTCTTCTGCCTTGGCTGTTTTCCTCATCAGCCTGCCTCATACTCACAGCAAGGGCCCCTCCTCACCACCCAATTTTCTGCCTCGCCTCTGCTGGTTTTCCTTCCTGCGCACTCAGAAATGCTGCTGAAAATCCACGCTTCCCTGGTGCTCCCCACAGCCGCCTTCATTACCAACCCAAGCAGGCCAGGGCTCTCCATTTGCCGCAGCTGGAAGATAATATATAAGCCATTTGAAGCCTCATGCCTATGAATCCAGCAGCCAGTATAATAAAACACCAGGTTATTTTGTGTTTTATTAACTGCCTCTTCCCTTCAGTTTGCATAATAGTGAGTTAGATTTACATGCCGTTAAGACGGCTGTGCATTATTTTTAATAGAAGGTGCGACAGGCTCCTCTCTCAACCCTGGCGCGTGATAAAGTAACCTCATCCAATGTTGATGAAGATTTCGTTCACACTTGCTGGGTCTGGGCAATGTCTTTTTTTCCAGATGGATACTCTATTGTAAAATGATTTCCCTCCATAAGCTTGACTCTCCGTCCCTCTCTTCCGTGTCATCTTCCTATGAACCGGATAAACTGCCTATTAAATTTAATTACGGTCCGAATGGCCACACATCTTGATCTCATGTTCCCCCAAGTGTACTGTATTCCACCAAGGTCCTTGAGGAAGGAATAAAATAAATCTGAAGGATGCGTGTCTACTCTCCACAAGGAATGTCACGGAAGGCACACTTGGCCGCCATCATTTTTACGGTGTCTAGGGCACCTCGTGCAAACTCTCCTTCCTGGCTTTCCATGCAGACGTTCAAAGCAAGAGCTAATTTTATTGACTTCCTGTAGACTGATTTTAACTGAGGTGGGGAACTAAAGATACCAGTTTGAGAAACACGGTACCTCTCCTGAGCTGTTTACATTTGTCAGAGGACAACGTCAGCCTTTTGTTGAATGGTAAATTACAAATATCTCATTTTATCTGTAAACATCTTCATATGCATTCTAAGTGAAAGAAGCTTCTGCAAATGAAAGTAAAGCATCAGTGCCATTATCACCATCCTAAAATAAAATTATCTCCAATACCTAATAGTTCATATTTCTAGTTTTCTCATATATATATCACCATCTCTTTACAGTTTATTTTTTGAATTAAAATTTAGATAAGGTTTACATCATGCAATTGGTTGTCAGTCTTCTCTATCTTAGGTCAGGTTTATTGCAGTATAATTTACATAATGTAATGTTTCTCTTTTTTAAAGGTATAATTTGATGAGTGTGACAAAAGTATACAGTCACATAACCTGACCCCAGTCAAGATGTAGAACATTTCCACTGCTCCAAAGAGTTTCCTTGTGCACCTGTGGTCAGTCCCCACCTGCATTCCCGCTCCTGGAAAACCACTGAGCTGTTCTCAATCACTATAGTTTTGCCTTTTCCAGAATGTCATATAAATGGAATCATTTTGTATGTGGGTGTTTATGTGTGCCTTCTTTGGTTTAGCATGCTTCCAAGGTTTATCCGTGTTGTAACATGTATTACAGTTTCCTTCCTTATTAACGCTACCTAGCATTTTCAAAGCAAAGTTGTAATCACAATTTATTTATCCACCCACCAGTTAATGAGCATTTGGGTTGAGTTGCTTTCAATCTATAGATTTCTCTCTCCACTTGTTTTGCTCTCTTGCAATGTACTCATTGAAAAAACCGGTTCATTGGTTTTGTGGATTTTCTGGCATTCTGGATGTTGACAGCTGTACCCCTTTTGTGTAGTTTACCATATCCCTGGATTTCCGGAGGTTGTATCTAGAGTCTCAGTTTGATTCAAGTTTGATTTTTGGCCAGAATGTTTCAGAGGTGGTGGCGTGTTTTCCCATCAGGGCATCAGCATGACAGGCTGCCTGTTTTTAAGAGATTAACAAATACTGATGGTCAACACTTAGAGCCATTCATTCATCAGTTAGAAAATGGTGAATCCGCATTCCTTCCTTGTCTGTTAGCTGGATAACTGCATACAGCGACACTCCCTCTCATCTGTTACTTGATTATCCAGTGGTACAGGAATAAGATTTTAAGCATTTTAAAAAGATGAATCCAGCTGAATGCAGTGGCTCATGCCTGTAATCCCAGCACTTCGGGAGGCCAAGACAGGTGAATCATGAGGTCAGGAGATCGAGACCATCCTGGCTAACACAGTGAAACTCTGTCTCTACTAAAAATACAAAAAGTTAGCCGGGCGTCGTGGCACATGCCTGTAATCCCAGCTACTTGGGAGGCTGAGGCAGGAGAATTCTTTGAACCAGGGAGGTAGAGGTTGCAGTGAGCTGAGATTGTGCCACTGCACTCCTGCCTGGATGACAGAGTGAGACTCCGTCTCACCAAAAAAAAAAAAAAAAGATGAATCCAGGCTGGAAAAAAATACAGCTGCTCCACCAACAAGCTGCCTGCTCAAGGCTGACATGTCACCCCCTTTAATAGGAAGCACACTGAGTTTCTCCCCTCCTGTAGTGCTTCCCGGAAACTGTATCTGATGACATTTTCTCTCTCTCCTAGAATTCCAGTGCTGACCATCGAGTCCGACTGGACCTGGGCCTCTGGGACAAATTCAGTGAACTGGCCACCAAGTGCATTATTAAGATCGTGGAGTTTGCTAAACGTCTGCCTGGTTTCACTGGCTTGACCATCGCAGACCAAATCACCCTGCTGAAGGCCGCCTGCCTGGACATCCTGGTATGTGCTTTTTTATGCTCTCAATGATGGGGCTGGGGAGGGAGAGCGGGCACCGTGGAGGGGAGGGGAGGGGACCAAGAGGCACTGAAGATCTCCAGAGCAGGTTTTGAGTTTCGACTCTAGCACTCACCTGACTTAGTAGGTGGACTCACCTAGCCTCTGGCTCCTTATCTGTGAAATGGGCTGAATTCCCATCCCTCAGGCTCACTGAGGTCTGCGAAGCTCAAATGAGCTGAGGTTGGCAAACTCTCCAGGTGAATGCTGGTCTGTTTCAGTCTTCCTGAATGTTTCTAAGTTCACCCCGGATACCCTGATTTTTACAAGAAATAAAATAATCACATATGCTCTCAGGACGCCTGGCACCTGTAAGTTACTGAGTAACCATTGCCACTCTTCCTCAGGTCTGTTTAGCAAACAGGACACATAGACATTCAAGCTTCCTGTACGACCACCACACGCAGGGACCTCTCTCCTCTTAAGTGGGAGTGTGTTCGTGTGCTTAATTATAGTAACTGTATTTGCTTTGCAGAATGGTTTATACCCAAAGCTGTGAAAAACCTAATAAAAAGGCAATGCTTTTACAGCACTTCAAAAGCTGATTTTACTTTCCCTATGTTCTGATGCATCCCTGGGAGAGGCTCCACGGGCCTCTCTGCATACATACGTCTAATGGGAGCTGCTTCCATCCAAGGAAACAGTCCCAGCCTGAAGTCCCCACCAGGGAAAGACAGGGTGGACATCCGTCCTGTGGAAGACAAAATGTGCTGGCCCCCTTACCCTCTTTAAGGCTCTAGAAGCATAGCACGAGCAGGGCAGGGAGCCAAGGGGCATCAAGTATCCCCTTTGTACAGGTGAGGAAACTGAGGCCCACAGACATGCTATGACTAAATATTTGCATCCTCTAAAAATGTGTATGTTGAAGCCTTAATTCCCAATGTGGTGCTATTAGGAGGTGGGGCCTTTGGGGGGTGATTAAGTTTAGGTGAGGTCACAAGGGTGGAGCCCCAAGATGGAATTAGTGCCCTTATAAGGAGATGAAGCCACCAGAGCTCCCTTTCTCTGCCTTGTGAGGATATAGCAGGAAGGCAGCTGTGACCTAAGAGGAGAGCCCTCACCAAGAACCCAGACATGCCGGCTCCCTGACCTCAGACTTTCAGCCTCTAGACCTAGGAGAAGCAAATGTTGTTGTTTAACAGGCCAGGTCTCTGTTATAGTAGCCTGAACTGACTAAGAACAGGAGGGCAGGGGTCTTCCCAAGGTCACAGATGGGGATGGTGCAAGATCAGGGGTGGAGTGGGGTATAGAGCCAGGGTGGTACTGGGCTACCTCCAGGCCTAAGAGGATGTAAAAGAGGATGATGAAGCATAAACAGGAGCCCTTAGGGACAGCAGAGATGAGAGAGTTGTGGGCCACAGTGAGAGAACCAGCTAGACCACCAGAGAGTAACAGAGACAATTTGACAAATCAATAATGATACTAACAATGAGCTATTAGAACAATGTACAAAAATTACTGGGTCTTTTAATGCTTTCCTGACAAAAACTTAAAATGTAACACTCAGTAGAATTTCCCCTAAACCTCAGAACACTTCCAAGATATTAGCAGAGACTGGAGTTACCACTACAGTGTCTGAGTGGTCTGTGAGGTGACACACAGCAAATCAAGTCCACAGCAAGCAATGCTATGTCATTCTGACAGCCTGTATCACGCAGCCACCCAGCAGGGCCTGGAGCCTTCCCAGTCCTCAGGTTCTGACCTTGACCTTCTCCTTGTTCCTTAATCCTTCTTTTGTCTGGTTGCCAGATGATGACAGTTTGTGATTCTCAGCCCCAGCATATGAAGTGAGAGGTATACTTTGAGATCCTCCGGGAAAGTGGCTTATTTCTACACAGCGACACACTTAGTGATCAGGGTACAGTCTCCACAAGATTTAAATCCCCTTCCTCAATTTAGAAATCCCCTTCCTGCCTCCAGCAGCCCTCTTTCCACATCTCAGCTTATACTGAATCCTGCAGCAGTCTTCCAGCCCCGTGGATCCAAGAATTCGCCATTAGCCCCTCAGTAGTCAGGTAGAACAGAAACCAATTTTTGTGACCTTGGCCAAGTTATATAACTTCTCTAAGCCTCTGTTTACCTATGTATATAAAATAGAAATGCAAATCATTAAGGCATTAAATAAGGTAATTACTTAAATGGGATTCACTATATTAACAGCTGTAATACCTAGCATGCAGCAGGTACTTAACCAATGACGTTGACAAGGCCAAAGCTGGGTTAATGTGGGCAATTTCAGCCCTGTGGTGGGAATCAGGAAACTTTCAACCACTCCTTCCTGGGCCATGGGGGTGAGGAGTCTGGGTTGGGGTGCAATAGGCCAGCGAGGAAAATGTCCTGATAGTTAAAGGGCAAAGACCTCTAGTCACACAAGACAAAGCTCGAAGGAATACGCATTTGGCCCTAGGCAAGGGCTTGTTTCCAAGAATTTGTAGCAAAGGCAGTTAATCACAAGATCCTGCAAGTACACAAGTTCAAAGAGCATATTTTGAATGAGGATGTTAACTGGCACAGCTGTTTAGAAGAATCTTCTTATCTAAGTCATTGATATGTGGATAGAGTGGGACAGAGAAACCGGGCGGATGGACAGACAGACAGACGCAGGCTGAGGTTATTCTCAGACCCTAGAAAGGAAAACCCAGGCTCTCTCAAGGGTCACCAGCCCTGATTGAGTACGGCCTGTTCAGAGCCACGTGTCTCATTGTGTTGTGTGTGGTCTCTCAACAAGACAAGGTAATATTTCTGACTGTGCGCCTGCCGGGGCCGGCACTTTCACAGGAAGATGCGGTCAGCTGTGGGACACGCAGTCGAGGCTCTCCGGGAAGGGTCGGTTCAGAATCACGAGGTGAGGGCCCTTATGATACAGGCAGAGGATGGAAGGCCTCACCTGTCCTGCCCTTGCTCACCTTCCACGGGAATTTCCCATCCTCACCTCTGCTCAGTGGGGACCCTTTGGTGGGCAGCCCATAGCCGGGCTTCCTGCACGAGGTTGGAGCCAGAAGATTCTGAGGCCACGCTTTGAGTTTCATGTTTTCCCACGGAGCCAAGTAGCCAAAAACGTCTCTATTAAGATAGGCAGACTCTTCATACCCACTGCAGATGGTTTTTTTTTATGTTTCTTTCTTCACTCAAGAGTTGGTAGCATCCTAGGGCTGTGTTCAGGCAAGTGAGGGAGCCCTGGAGCAGGAGTGGCCCCTTCACCTGGCTCTGCCCTCATGTTTCCTTCTTGTTCAGTCTCCTTTGTCTCCTTTATGCCTTTTCTTCCACCCCCTCTCACCTGCCTCTTCTCCTCTGCAATAATTAGGATCAAGTCTCTCTCAACTTAATAAAAATCATAAAAATAAACCTTGAGGTGGTCAGACTTTGGTTTCTCTGCCTCTTCTCTCCCTCCACCCCTCTTCCCTCCCTCCCTTCCTTCTCTTCCTCCTTCCACAAATATTTGTTGATGACCTACTGTGTGCCGGGCACTATTCTAGGCTCTGAGGAGGCAGCAGAGGGAACCAAGCTGAAACCCCAGCCCTCACGGAGCCGACCTTCTCCTGGGGGGACACAGACAGTAAGGAAGCAGATACATGGATTAGACCGCGTCTGACGTGCAACAAAGGAGAACAGAAGCAGAATCTGGGATGGAGCACAACGAAGGGGGGCTGGGGCTTGTTTCCATAGCTCAGACACAGATGGTGTTAGAAGAAACCTGGATGAAGAAACAGAATTTCCCAGTGTTTCCCAGAAAGAGCCAGGCCCAGGAGAAGACCCTGATGGGAGGGGTGTGCGAGTCCTGGGGAGCCTAGAGAGAGTGGAGTTCAAAGGCCCCAGGGCAGGGGACGCCCCAGCAGGTTGGAGGAAGTGAGTGTGCCTGGAAGGGAGTGAACCAGTGGGGACAAGACGTTAGATCCCAGAGTGGGGCCTGTGATCCTGCACAGATTCTCCTTCTTGGTCTCCTAAAAAGTCACTGGGTTTTGAGCAGAGGTGTACCGCGGTCTGACTTTTGGTTTAAACGTTCGCTCTGTCTCATCATGCAGCACTGCGTCAATATTGCTTGAAGTCATGATTCTCACGCGCATTTACTGAGCACTTACTTCATGGATGTGTGATGGCAGAGTGGAGAGTCCCTGTCCTGTTGCACTCTACAGTCAAGCTCTCCAGCCCCGCCTGGCCTGCCCCTACTTTTGCCACAGTATTTATCTCCTCCACTCACCCCCACCCCACCCCACTGCACCCCATCCTGGCTCCACACGGATCCTGCTCCCCTTCAGCTTGCCCAGCTGTTGAATGTGGGCTCTGAAACTAGCTTGCCTGGGTTCAAAATCTGGCTCTGCTGCTTACTAGCTGTGTGACCTTAGGAAAGTTACTTCCCTCTCTGAGCCTCAGTTTCCTCGTATTTACGATGAAGATGGCAATAGCAGCTTCCTTTCAGGCTCTAGAAAGCATGCAATGAGGTGGCACGTAGAGCTTGGAACAGTGTGTGGCACCCCACAGGCCTCAGTTACGCTGAGTGTTATTGTGAAGTTGCACTAAGCCCTCAGGGGTCCTGTTATTGTCCACATTTTGCAGGCGAGGCAGCTGAGGCCCAAGGGGAAGCCAAAACCCCATAGAGCTTCCCCGAGAGAGTTTCCAGCCTCCAGATAAAGGAGGGCAAAATCGCTTTTGCAAAGTAGAAAACCTTGAGCAATTTTCGGATGAGAAAATGACTTGCTTTGCCAGGGTTTGTTTAAAGACTGTGGTGGAGAATTCATTAAGTAGCTGTATTTCTTACAATGAAATTAAACCCTGTGGGAACACAGTGAGGGATAATGATCCACTTGTGATTCTGAAGACAGGGTTTTCATAGCAGCCCCCGTGGGCAAATGATGGGGAAAGCTGGTATGCCACAGTCATGCGTGGGTGGTGCAGCCAGGCCACTCCACAGAAGCCAGAGGGGCCTTCCTTCCTGGACCGGGGCTCGG